CGGGATGGGCTTTCTCACCAGCTGAGCATTGCTGCGGGGTCTGTGCCTGCAGCTCTGCAAAGATGCCTGTCACCCTGGTGGGACAGGGCCCTTCCCATTCTGCTCTGGGCCTGAGCAAGCCATTGGTCTTTGTTCCCACAGAGGAGATTTCCGACCTCACGGAGCAGATTGCAGAGGGAGGAAAGGCAATTCATGAGCTGGAGAAAGTCAAGAAGCAAGTTGAGCAGGAGAAATCTGAAATCCAGGCTGCTCTGGAGGAAGCTGAGGTACCTGGCCAGAATCATTGCTGTCTGCACTAAATGTGTGAGCAAGGCAAAAACAATGCTAAAAAGGCCTTGCTTCTGCTCTGTTCTGGCTGCGGAGGGCAGCCAGCTGAGATTTCCTGGAATATTCTCTAATTCCCTAGAAAGCAAGCAGTAGGTTTATCAGTGTTTCCCATGTTTGTGTCCACTTGTCCAGGCCTCTCTGGAACATGAAGAGGGGAAGATCCTGCGCCTGCAGCTGGAGCTCAACCAGGTGAAGTCTGAGATTGACAGGAAGATAGCAGAGAAAGATGAGGAGATCGACCAGCTGAAGAGGAACCACCTCCGAGTCGTGGAGTCCATGCAAAGCACCCTGGATGCTGAGATCAGGAGCAGGAATGAAGCCCTGAGGCTGAAGAAGAAGATGGAGGGAGACCTGAATGAAATGGAGATCCAGCTCAGCCATGCCAACCGTGTGGCTGCAGAGGCACAAAAGAACCTGAGAAACACACAGGGAGTGCTCAAGGTATGTTAAGCTAAGGATGTGCATATAGGAATCTCATAGAATCATTGATTTATTGAATGGTTTGGGTTGAAGGAGACCCACAATGTTCATCTAGTCCATCCCCTCTGCCGTGGGCAAGAACACCATGTACTAGATCAGACAGCTCAAAGTCCCATCCAATCTGACCTTGAACACTTCCAGTGGTGGCACATCCACAACATGCAGTCACTGGATATCAGGGAGAAGAGATCAGCACCTCTCTCTGTTCTGCCCCACTTCAGAAAGCTGTAGAGCAATGAGGTCACCTCTCAGCAGCCTTCTTTGCAAACCAGACAACCCTCATGTCCTCAGCCACTCCTCAGATAATATGTCTTCCAGTGCTTTCTCTTGCTTTGCTGCCTTCCTCTAAATGCATTTATGTCTCATAATATATTTCCCTAATTGCAGGGCCCAGAATTGCCCACAGTACTCAGTGGGAGTAACTCAACTTTAAAAAACAGGAATTCAGATCAAACTGTGCCTTGGCTCTTGTAAGCCTGTCCCCACACATCCAGGCAGCATCTCTATAGTCTTCTCAGGATATATGTCCCTGGTTCTACTGCCTATGCTTTTCCTTCTTACACTGGAGTTTGTTCTGGAACTCCTTGCTCAGCCACTCTGTTCTACTGCCTTCCTTGCCTGACTGCTTCCAAGTGGCAATTTAGAGCACTTGCACTCTAAGAAAAATGTTCTTAACTCTTTTCTGCTTCTTTATTCTTGAGGGCAGTTTCTCAACAGGGTTCCACCCAGTAATTCCTTAAACAACAGAAAGTCCACTCTCCTAAAATTCAGGGTCTTGACCTTACTCTTCAACTGGCCCAGACCCCTCAAAATCATGAATACCACCAGGGGTTGATCACTACAGCCAAGTTTGTCACCAGCTGTGACATCTCTAATTGGTTCATTTGTGTCGGTAAGTATCAGGCCCAGTAACAGTTCTTCAGTGGGGCAGCCTATCCCCTGGATGAAGATATTATCCTTCATACACTCCAGGAATCTCCTGGACTGCTTACAGCTTGCTGTGCTGCTTTTCCAGCAGATGTCAAAGTGATTCAAGTCCCCTAGCAGGACTGGGTCATGGAAACACGGTGCTTCCAGTAGTCGAAGTTATGATAGTTGGTTACAAGTCTCCCCTAGGTCAGGATCCTCATAGTAATCACCAGCCATAAGGTTTCCTTTGTTGGCTTGGCCTCTAATTTTTACTCATAAGCTATCAACCTGACAAATCACTGTTTTTGAAAGACAGCTCTGTGCAAACAATCCATAGACACCACCTTCTCACCCCTTCTTCCTTGCCCCTTCCTTGTACCTTCATTGTCCCTTCTGAACATTTTATAGCCATTGATGCAGCACTCCAGCCATGTGATTCGTCCCACCAGGCTCCAGTGACAGCAATTAGATCAGAGTTTTCTAGATGTACAGGGGCTTCTAACTCCTCCTATTTGTTACCCATGCTACATGCATTGGTATAGGGGCACCTCAGTTATCACTTTTTTAGAGGAATGAACCCTAAATCCTTTGGAACATTTCCCTGTTGCTTCCTAATGCATCAGCAGGCCCTGGCTCTTCTTCCTAACTCAAAACTCCATTCTCTTCTCCTACTAAGTCTAGTTTAAAGCTCTAGCTAGATTACTCGTGAACACCCTCCTGCCCTACTTGCTCAGGTGAATCTCATCAGCTCCCAACAGAGAGAGTTTCTCAAAGGTATACTCATGATCATAGAAGCCAAAACCTTGATTATGGCATCAGCTACACAGCCAGATAAACACCCATTCACCTTTTCAGTCATTCTTCTCCTTCTTAAACCCTTTCCTCTTACTGGAGGAAAGTACTCTGCCACATGTACTTCGTATCCTTTGCTCTGAGGGCCATCTTTTGATAGTTATAAGTTGCCTTATTGCAGTATCATTAAAGCCTACACGGAATAGTAGGATCCTGTCACTCATGTGCTCTTCGTTTTTCAACCCCAGAGCATAGTATCTGTTACATAGCAGCACTTCAGAGGATGAAGGAAAGTTCTTTCTGCTGCCCCAAGCAGGAACAAAGGTCCAGTTTCCTTTATCTTGGAAGTATTGTCAGTCAGAGTTTGAATTCAGGCTTGCCTTTCCTTTGCACAGCCTAAAATTTAGGCAGGGCTGTCACTCAGCCTGGGACAGAGCACAATACCATGAATCAATTTCCTGCTCACATTCTTCGATACTGTGCATTTACTGACAATAATGCCTCATATAAATATTTAATTATATATATTGTACTACCATAGTAATTACTGGACTGGTGGCAATTGCAACAGTGCTGTGATGCCTTTTAAATTCTCCTTCCTCTCTTACAGGACACCCAGATCCATTTGGACGACGCTCTCAGGACCCAGGATGACCTGAAGGAGCAGGTGGCCATGGTGGAGCGCAGAGCAAACCTGCTGCAGGCTGAAATTGAGGAGCTACGGGCAGCCCTGGAGCAGACGGAGCGGTCGAGGAAAGTGGCCGAGCAGGAACTGATGGATGCCAGTGAGAGAGTTCAGCTCCTCCACACTCAGGTTAGACTCATGAGATTCAAAAACCCATGAGCCTTTTTTTTCCTTTACAGATATTCAGCTGTGCAAATTCTTAAATCAATAGTTGTGATAAAAAAACTTCACCTTAACCAGAATTAGTAAACTTTTATGAAGAAATGGATTATAGGTAAATGAGTAGGATTGCATCAGAAGTCAGAAGGGCTTCTTCAAATTTTAAGAACTCTCTGCTATCTTGCTGTGTATGACTTCACAAGATGCATCAGGAGAATCCTAATATTAGATATGTAGAAGATAACTTTACATTGAAACAATACATTCCTAAAATAAGTGTTCTCTTTTGGAACTAACTGGACAAAATATTTATTGTTCAACAGAACACCAGCTTGATCAACACCAAGAAGAAGCTGGAGACAGACATTTCTCAGATTCAGAGCGAAATGGAGGATACGATCCAGGAGGCCCGCAATGCTGAAGAGAAGGCCAAGAAGGCCATCACAGATGTGAGTCGGGGCTCCTTTCATTGCTGATGGCGATG